AACAACAGCAACAACAACAACAACAACAACAACAACATCAGCAGCAACAGCAGCAACAGCAACAGCACCAACAGCTTGTAGCTACACAACAGCCGTCGTTTGAAGCATTGCTGGAAATACAACGACAGCAACAACGGCAGCAGTTAATTCAGGCCTCTCGTGGTTTACCTGGTGGTTTTACAATTCCGACTGCTGCAAGTCTTTCTGCAGCTGCAGCGGCTGCTGCTGCAGCAGCTGGATTGCCAACATCACTGTCGCAGGGTATGCCTGCAAATATGCTAAGTTCATCACCATTAATGCAGATTGGTGGAGTGGCAAATTTGCAGCAACAACTCTATGGCAAAATACCTTTCTCTAATACTCTGGAACAACTTGTACGGCAAAAACGCGATAGTGATATTGTACAAAATGGCAGGTGACCGTGAGACATATATGTTGCATTAGTTTTTTTTTTTTTTTTTTTTGGATAAATTATTTTCAGCTTGTATGTTTTCTTTTATTCGTTTATTATTTTCTCGAAAGTTTTCTCAGGATACTTTTTAATGGGAATTTAAACAATTATTGAACGCTGTTTAATGTATGTTTGTTTGTGTAACTGAGAAACAAAAAAAATGTGATTTTATTAGGCGTGAATTATCGTTGTTTCATTCTTCTTTGTGACGATGAGTTTTGAGTATAATTAAGTTGTAGGTTTTACTAGAGCTGATTTCTTTGATGTTTTTGGGACCTTTGATTTATAATCAAGTCTAGGGAACTTACTCCGCGGAAGCTAAGGCAACTCTTTTAATTTTCGCTACTGAGTTTGTACCAGAACGGAAATTTGCTTTGGATTAATATACACCCAATTTTAATTTTTTTTTATTTGAATGTTTAGTGGTTTAAGCGTTTAACTTTAACTATTCGCGCTCTGTTTAGCAACGGGTAACTTCTCTTTCACTTTTATTTTCTTGTTTTTGAAACATTTTTATTGCACATTTTTCAATTTACATTCAAAGAAATAGTTGTCGTGAAGGACCGACTGACTCTGTTCATTTTCGATTCTCTGTTTGCTGCTTTTTTCTTGGATAAGCAATGAGCCATTCTGCCTCTGTTTTTGTTTCTTTGAATTGAATTTTGTTTTTCTTTCCACCTTTAATTGTAGTGGTACTTTGAAACGATGTGCATGTTCTAGCATTCTGGCATTGTGATGGCATTTTGCATAAACCAAATATTTTTCTATGGGTGTCCAAATTTTTTTCAATTTTTTTTATTCGGACTGTGGCTTTTTGAAGAGTGTGAGTGGAACCTTGCTTGCAAAATGCTTTGAGCAAGAACTTTGCCTGTAGTGTTGTTTAAATAATTTGGAGAAATCGATAAATTGTTGCGTGTTT